TTATTAAAATTTGAAAATTTTTCTTTTCATTTCAGTAGACTTATTGTAATACTTTACGAAATACAGTATTTTGATACACTATAAATCATTTGTGAAACCTAGTATATCTGACTGTCAGAGCTTTTTATGCAGAACCTAAATTACAAGTATTAAAATTTCTCTTTACAACATGAATTACAAAGGCAATTACCTATACTGTAGTAAAAGTCTTCTATCGAATCAATTCAAGTTTAGCATTTAAATATTATGTTTTGAATGAAGTCCTACAGTGATTTAACTATTCAATTTAATTAAAATACTTTAAAAATGAGTTAATCAAATGTTACGAAAAACTGTCAAAACAATAATTCATAGAAAAGGAACTATCGACTAAATTTATATATTTAAAGAATTGTACAGTTTTAAACTCATTTCCATAAAATTAATTTAATATCGGTGAAAACTACTGCAGTAATTAAGAATTAATTAGCAACTTCTAGCGAATACAATCAATAAAAACCTGAAAATATTACGAAGTGAAGCTAGGGTCGTTGAATAAAAAAACATATGCCTATTGAAGCATATAACTTGAGTAACGTTGCGTTTGTTTTTATAAATTCAAGTGGTCGTTGAAAAGGCTCGACATGCAAATGCTTTAATGGGTAACATAAAAAATAGACAAGTAAATAAAGCTGAAAGGAAGCTCTGAAAAAAATTTTGTACTGAAGAAAAAATTGTATCAAAAAGTGTTGTTTCGTTAATGACTGAGTAATTAAGGCTAACAACTTTGACCAGAGTGTGTTCAAATTTTCTCTGTGTTATCCGAATTCTGATATACATGAGTGGGCATTTTTATGTGTCAAACTATTGTCCATTTTTTGTAATACTCATTTGCATATATTTTTAATTTCGGTGTTGCCTACTAATGGGAATAAAATAAAAAAATAACGTTTTAATTTCATTTCAGATATAGTTTTTGTTTTGTTCTTGTTTCTCCAGTCCTCTTGTATAATATTTGAGGGAAGTTTTATGTCTTTAAATGTGCTGCAATGACTATCCAAGCGCTAAAAATGCAAATCATTAGAACGAATTCGAACCTATTACGAATGATAATATCAAGAAATAAGAAATATACCTCTCAAAATCTCAGTTGAATTCAACTAGTTTAATATCAGTATACCTAAAATGATATTAATATTTACTTTCAAAGCATTTTGTTAAGGGGTAAGTCATTCATTGTCTGCAACTTACTCAAACTTTCATCCGTGAACATATTCACAATGTTCATATCCATAATGTTTCTAGATAAAACATGGGTCCCTATATCACCGTAATATGTACTGAAATTGAACAAATGTAATTGATCGCTATGTTAGCTGTAACCGTAACTCCACACTCTTATAGCTTTCCGTTAATTTCGAGAAGCAAAATATACTATAGAGACATTAGGTATTTTTTGAAAGCAAAAAAGATGAAAAATGAGCAACGTCCTCGCAGGGAATCGAACCACGGACCTCTGAAATACGCGCCCAGCGTGCTGATCACTACACTACGAAGGCATACTAAGAAGGCGAGAGAAATATCTTATAGTGCTAGAAATATCTCGCGGCGGGTTGAAATCTATTTAACGCCCGAAGAGTAAGCATCTCCTCTCAGTTGTTCAGTTATTGTTTTTGAGAGTTGTTACTTCAGCGTGAACTGAGATATCCCAGTTAGCTTTCTCTTTAGATGCACTTAGCATTGCGTTATGATTAACGTTGTTAGTAGTTTGAAGAGTAACTATTGATTATACTGTTTGATGCTGAGACATTTGTACGCATATTTCTGAGGAAAATTCCATAGCTCTGATATATTTCATTTGATAAGACTAAATTTCGTTAACCTATTACCGGACTTGTGCATTCAATCTATTACGAACCCACGCAACAATATCCTTAAAATTCCCAATATTGTCTAGAGTTGCAACACATTTATTTTTATATTCATTATGTTATTTTTATTTGTAATTTCCTCAAAAATAATGCAGAGTGATAACATCTGGTGACAGCATTCTTTTATTTGAAAAGTGATTTGACACAAAAGCAAAACTAACACATTGAGGTTTGAAGATACTACATTTAATTGCTTTATAACGAGAGCTTGTCCTCAAAATGAGCTCATTCTTGTCGTATTTACGTATTTAGCGTAATTCCAAGAGCACATTTAATACTGATAATCTGTTGTTCTCAATCACATATTTATTATAAATACACAGTTTAAGAAATTGTGGATTATCGCATAATAATTCTTTTTCGGGAAAGTCCATTCGTAACTCCAGAGTAAAATATCACTTCCGGTTTATCTATTTTAGGCAAAATCTAATATGTTGTTCCCATTGTTAAACACTAAAACTGAAATGTTTGGGATTATATTTTAATATAGTTTTTCATTTAAAACCGTTATGGGCTTCAAGTGAAGTACCACTTCTCATTTCCATTAAAGAATGTTATGGGCTTCAAGTAAAGTATCACTTCCGTTTGTCCGTTAAAAGACTGTAATGGGTTTCCTGTAAAGTACCCCTTCCTGTTCTCCAGTTTTATCTAAAATCTAAGCTACATTTTATATGAATGTAGACCAAAAATTTTGGAAAAATAGAAATGTTTGGAATCTTCATATACGAATTATCGTGAACAAAAAAACAAATTGTCACCCACAGACAAATATTATTGTAAAAATAATAAAAGCTTGTTGTGGGAACGCGAATTCGTGCTTATTCACTGAAAACTCATTATCAAATTTTTGAACCGAAAAATGACCTCTCTTACCTATTATAAGTTAGCGGGAAGTAAAACCAGCGACTGCTTTTTGTCCCCTATAGTGCTTTATGGGCTTTAAGTACTACTTCCAGTTGTCCAGTTTTATTCAAAATCTAATAAACTCTTTATATGAATGCAGAAAGCTTAAATACCGAAAATGTAAAATTTTTGGAAGTTTCATATAATAATTCATGTATAGAAAATCATCACACACGTATACAAAGACACGGACTCGCAAACAGACAGACGTCATTCTAAAAATAGTGGTGAAAACATGTTGTGGGGACTCTGATTTACGTTTATTCATTGAAAACTCACTATCGGATTTTTGGACTAAAAAGATTTCCTCTCTTAACCTATCTATAGAGGTTGGCAAGAGGTAAAAATGTAAAGCATCTCAGGAAGCATTCTCACCTTCAGAAAAATACTCGGCGGAAAATGCATTTTTCCTCCTTAATTCTTTACCGTGCAAATTATTACGATTCTATGTTGAATGTTGTAAGAATTTACAAAAGAAACAATAACCATAGAAAACTAATGTGACTTTGGTTTATATCATAGAATATTTATTTTAAATATAAATATTTGAATAATCTTTACTGTCTGCCATATATTTAGAGCGAGGGAAATCGTGTCTTTTGTTTACAAAAACCACATTACCTTGATGCTAAACAAAGAAAAATTTTTCAGCATGTACTGATAACGAACGGTGATGAATAAATTATAAAACGTTATCTGCATCCCTCTAACAATTTTAAAAAATAACCCACTGCGTTCAAGAAAGAAACCAACGGCTAAATCTTTTTTCATCTTTTATTCCACTTTGACAGAGGGTTTATTCATTGCAATGCGACGTGTTGAAACTTAATAAAGAAGTTCTACAATGAAAATATCAAAACTTGGGGTTAACATAATTTAGCTTTGTGCCGTGTCACAATTTAACTTTCAGCTTCTGGCTAAAATACAGGTTGCGTATTGTTTTTGAAAGAATAATTTATGAGGAAAACGCTGTGTGAATCGATTTGTAAGATTGCATTATCCCCATGCCAGATATACTTCTATTCACGATTTTAAACACTATTTCCTTTTTTTTTTTTTTTTTTTTTTTTTTTTTTTTTTCCATTTATAAGTCTTTTTTATGCAGTTGCTTACATGATGTTTAAAGCTTATTTTTGAAAGAAAATCTTTCTCAACTTTTTTTAACTTATTGATGGACAGCTAGACTACCCGTAAAACACATTCGGTTGTATTTGAGCACATCTTCTACAGTAAATAATTAATAATTTGCAAATCTCTTATCTGCAGAACTTTTCTTAACACATAAATATTATCATTTTATTTTTTCAAATAAGATCATAATTTTAAAATTAAATTACAAATTATTTAGTTAAGGCAAACACATGCAGATTAATATCTTTCACATATTATGAAATATATAATTTTTCATGTCATGGAAGTATGTTGTTTATCACTTCAATAAATAAATGAAAGGAAAGCCACTGCAGTAGGGAAGGGCCCTGGTTCGACTCCCGGGGAATACATGGATGTTTGTAAATATAGAATGTCTTTGCGGCATGGAAACACTGTAAATATATGGCGAGACGAAAATCCTCTCGTGTGGTTTGGTTGAAGGGGAGATGTGTAGGGGAACTCCCCCCCCCGGGTGTTCTCCCTCAAAATCGGGGTAAAAGTAGAAGTCCAACCTCCTTGAGGCTCTGGCTACCATTCTTCCATGAAATTCACTGACAAAACAACAACAACAATGAAAGGAAATCGCGTTTCTTAATAAACTTTGAAGAAGAGCGTTTATCACTTGTATAGTGTCGATACCGATATTTCACTTATATTATACTATTAGAAAACCCACGTAAAGAGATGTAAAATAAACCAATACAAACCTTTGGTCTTGCAAAATATACATTTATATAATATCCTATATTTCGTAATAATATTTAAATTTATTGGTAAACTTAAAAAATAATTAAATTGTGATATTTAAAAGACGTTAACCCCAAATAAATATTACGAGCAAATAGATATTACTAAGTCTTTACGAAAGAAACTTCCTAGTGGGAAAAATATTATATAAAACAAAATTTTAATTCTGAAGAACGTTATAACTATACCATATAATAAAATCTCATAAAAAATTTCGACACATAAACATACAAATGACATATATGTAAAAATGCAGGTGTTTAACAAAAGTTCAATAACGATACAGTTTCTCAAACACAGGCACCTTTATTACACGAATTCTACATATTAAGCAAATAGTAACCTTGGGTTAACATCAGTTTGTAGAGACATTAGGTATTTTTTGGAGGCAGGAAAGATGAAAAATAGGCAACGTTTTCGCCGGAAATCTAACCACGAACCTCTGGAATACCGGCCCAGTATGCAGAACCACTACACCACGAAGGCACGCTAGGAAGGCTTATCCGTATTCACTGATTTCCACCAGCGGACTGAGTTGTGGTAACAGTATCTCTGGATCGCAGCAGAAAAAGTGTACATCTGAATTTACTGAATGTGATGTCAGTTTCGTAATTCGCTGTTTCTCAGTTTTGAAAACATAACACTACGGGAGAGAAAAGTGAGTTTTACTTTTAACTCGATTTCTCTAGTAAAAAAACAAAATATCAGTTAATTACAAGATGACTAGTGTCAGGAGTACACAGAGAGAAGATAAACTTTCAAAATTATTTCTTCGCAGACGTAACTAATCATTAAATCAACAAACGGAAAAAAGGTTCGAAGATTCAGTTTGTAACACTTATCTCTACTTCTTAATTATTTCAAATTCAAATCCTACTCTCAAATATTACGTATTATCTAATTCAGGCCTCGGCAACCTATGACCTACGAGTCACCAAGTGACCCATTTCACAGTTTCAAGAAACCCACTTGAATTCCGAAAATAAAGCATGATACATAAAAATTAATTATAGAACATCCATATGAAACGACCACTTTATGAACACATAAAAAGTTCGGTAATAAATAATAATTATAACATTTTTCTTTGATAACAAAGTTGTAGTAACAAGCATTATTTTTATTTTTAAAAAATAAAAAAAAATTCAAGAGGAAATCGTTACGTTTGACAACACCAATCCATAATCCATAATTTAAAAAATGGCTTTGTCATTTTGTCCGCATTTGGTTCTACTAATAAATGTGAGAAAATATTTTCACGCGTGAAATTTATTTGAAGTGAAAACAGGAGCAGCTTAATTATAGAAAATTCAGATGCTTGTAGTCGTCTTAAGATGACTAACTATTACATAATCCAAACTTCACTTAATTGACGTAACAAGTTCAACATCAGGAAAGCCATTGATATCAGAGAGAAAAGTAAAAGTTTATTAAGTTAATTTTTATAATCATTAGAACTATACTTTTAATGTTTAAAATTTAAAACGTGTTGTAATTATGTGCTTGGTAAAATTTATCTTAATATTCACTAAGAAAAACTGTTCTAAAATGAAATTTTCACTAACCCGAAACGTCTTACATGCATTTTGTTCTGCCCCGCATCCAAAAACGTTGCCGACGTCGGATCTAATTGCTGAGTTATCACTATTATCTTAATAATTTCTGAAATCATACAAATATAAACACCTAACATTTATCCTACTTTATTACTTGTGAGGGACAAACTACTAAGTTGTTTGCCATTCAAATTTGTATAAATATTCTGGAAAGAGAGAGTCAATGACGAAACTGATATGTACAGAAAAAAGTGCAAATTGTTTGTAAACCTCAACTATAGCTAATGTCACTATACCCCCTGAAGAAGAAAACTTTAATCTTTAAGTTCTCAAATGGATTTTATAAAAAATTTAATTGGTTTCCACATTCCGATACTTTTGTAGCCTCTTCACACAAAATTTCATCTTACGTTGGTGACTCTTCTGTATCCTTCCAGCCGAACCTGGAAAGAAATAAAATCTTATAATATTTATGCATAGTGGTATATTTTGTTTCACTAAAAGGTATTCATTTAAACAAGGCTAATTACATATAATCCTTAGTAATTATTTCTACCATTGTTGTGCCTTTGCTGAAACCATCGAAATATATATGTCGTGTTACTGAGTATAACTACTCCTAATCACGTCTACATAGTACGTTAGTAAAGATCGAATATTTTCGAATACACCTTAGCACTACAAAGCTCCTCTAATGTTTAAAAACAAGCATATTTTTACTTAAACGTATTTTAATCGTAGATTTAATTTTCCTTCCTACTTCATTACTCTTTAAATACCTATCCATACAAGGTAAAAGTAAGAATGCAAGTTTCACATTTCAACTTATGGGAATCATTTCAAAACAATTAACTTTGAAGTGTTTCCAGAATTATAAGCTATTTCTAGCATTAAAATTTTACATTTAATAGAAGCCATTTGCATTTCCTTGATATTTTTCAAAAACACTTCAGTATGAAATAATATAAGAAAATTAACTTCGTCTTTTTTGAGTCCGCTGCTTCACTCTGTTTCTAATCTTGATGCCATCGTCCCTTGAACTCCGAATACCGTCGAATCCTCGCCTCCTTCACGTGGCTGCTGTATTCTTCTGACAGTAGATATCTTTCGTGTTTCTGATGATTGCACAGTTCCTTGACGCATCGACGGCTGTCTTCTCGCCGATTGTTGCAAAGATCTTTGGCCTGTAGACATTTCATCGGTGCTGCTGCCTAAAATTCCTATAAAGACATATGTTCTTTTTTTTTCCCCACAAGTGCGGAACTCATTCTTCTTGTGTTTACTCTTTTCGTTTGCGACATCCATATTTTGGGTGGATATTCTTTTGGACCGGCTGTTGTGCTTTTCTTGTGGTCTGCTTCCGCGTTACACCTCACCCTGCTTGTCAAATTGCACGGACTTTAACTCTTTAGACTTTACGTCAGGCTTTGCAAACTTTACATCAAGCCTACTTATTCCCCTCCCCTTTTCTTGGAAAAAGATCTTGTCCACGGTTTTATATCCGCCTTCTTTCTCCTTTTATTTTAATATAGGTTTTGCCTTCTGTTGCCTTACCCGACATATTCAGGTTGTTAGCTATACTGAAGGTTTTCGCCTTAATTTGCTGTAGGCGCGAGTTTGCATTTAGAGAGCCATTTCATCAACCAAACCAAAATTCACAAATTGTTTGAATGCACTCTCAGATATGCAAACTCCTATGAGCAACAAAATACCATGATTTGAAAAACTCTTATCCAAGAAAACGGCACAAAAAGTCACTAATGTTTTTGATGAATATGCAAATAGTTAAATTTTATATCATTTTCTTATTTCCATGTTTCGCATTTGGTTAATGTTGAAATTTGATTATACAGCTTAATTTTCGTTTTCTTTAGAATCTTTTTGAGGGGCTGCCAGAAAATATTAAGCAACAAAGATAAAATAGATGTAGAAACATTTCAGCGCATTTTACATTGATTATAAAGAGATGCAAATAAAACACTTATTCTCCTTCCAACAGCTTTGGAATTATGTTTATCAGGCTTCTTTTGAACTGAATAAATAAACACATAGAATTCTATAACAAAATGTACATCAAATCCTCTCATGACCCGTATTTTGAAAACTACTTTTGCATATTATTTACTTACATTATTTGGTACCTATGTATTAACTCAACACCTAGGTAGAAGTCCCCAGATTTTTATAACGTGCCAAACTCTGGCAACCATGGGCAAAACCATTCATTTGGCAACATGCTCATCCTAACAGTCCTATAGTCAAGCAGCGCTGCCACTTTCGTAAGCGTTCTTTTTCGTTTTATTACAAGTTCAAACGATTTTTATAACAATTCGTGATATTTTTTGCCTCGAACTTACTTTAAAAATATGAGCTTTTGGAATTTACCAGCAATTAAAGAAACTCCAATAACATTTCTGCGCGAATACAGAATTTTGCTGAACATTTTCTAAAGGAAACAATGACGAAATGCGTTTCCTGGATAGTTATTGTTGTCGAGGATTGCATGAAGACGAGTCTCCGCAATTCCTTATTTGAAGCGAAAGCTGATCGTTATGTACTTTTGGAGAAGAATAACGCAAATAATTTACAGAAATCTTTGAAGAAGAAAGGTAGTGTTTTACTTTTTTAATGTATCAAGTAATCCTTATTTAATAATTCAAATTTGTATTCTATATTACTAAAGTGTTTTTTTTCTTTTCACATACTGATAATGTTTAGCGACTTAGATAAATAGTAATATTTCTGTTACCTTTCTAAAAAATAAGATGCGAAAACCACCAACTTGCACCCTAGAAATAGCTTCTACCTTTTCATCTGTAGAAAATCGCCATTGCGCGAAGAGGTGGTTACGTTAATAAGTACCCATTACTTAATGTTTCAAGAAGTTACCAAGAATAAACTTACTTTATTAATTCATGTAATAAAATAAATCTAGGATCCTTTTGTAAATATCCTTAATGCAATACATTATGAACTCGAGCCCTTTCTAATTACGATATCTAAACTCAAAAATTTACCATATTTTATTATTGAAAAATAATTTAGTCTCCGTCATTCTTATTTAACTATAAACATTTAAAATTTGTTAATCTTCTTCGTAATTTTTAATGTATGTCAATTGCGTTATTGCGATTACTTCTGTAAACTCGTTTTATTTGAGCTTTGCTGTTTCCATTTCATCTTAGGAAACATAGAATAAAAACAGGTCTCATGTGTCTTAAAATTTTTAAATTGGCATTCCCTTTTACAATTCTGTTATAATTCACGTAAACTCTAAATTACATATGTAGCTTTATAGTATATTATATTTTATAATTGCCATTTAAAAGATTTCTAACAATAATGGATCTCAATAAAAGCTTTTGCAAAGACTTTTCTTTCCCTAATATGTAATTTCAATGTAACTTGCCGACTTTAAAACCCACTTAACTAGTACCTAGTAAAAATATGTCAATATAGCATAAATGTGTTAAATAAGGTATTATTGTTACCTAAACTGGATTTAGTTTTCATTTCGCAAATAAAATCGCATCTTGGGGAAATAACAGGCATTTGCATCTATATTGTAAAAGGTCTTCCGTTTGCCTTATAAATTTAAATATTAAATTGATTACCATTATAACAAATCAGGACATTTAAAACAAATAATTATATTTCATAACGTTTTGATATTCCCAACAAATTAATGAAAAGGTATGAAGTAAGTTACAAGTATTGCTACACGTTTGAAGGAAATGTAGTGTATATGGTAGAGCAAAACGGTGAATGGTACATTAAAACTTGGTATAAGTACAAATCACGTGGTCTAGCTTAAAGTGATTATCCCAAATCAGGCGGAACTTGCGACCGCAAGTTACAGCTATGGTATAGATGTTTGTGTTTGTAATCGTTCCGTGTCGCAACTGGGTATTGCAGTGATCTAGAAAGTAACTGATCGAAGCTCAGAGTTATAGTAAGGGCGAGAGTTTAGAGGGACACAATTTTAAGTCGTTCCCGTCGACTGGAGAGAAGTGAAGAAAACATTTGCTTGCGAAAGAAATGTCTAAATAAGAAAATTTACTGAAAGCCTTTGCTCTTCGAACCATTATTTCTTTCATTGTATTAATACAAAATTTGTGGCGCTCAGCGAAAGCAGCAGACTGTGCCTTGGCAACATGGACGTCCATTACACTCAAAAATAGAGTAGTCCTTGGTAAAATAGAGAAACATCTCTCAGACACTAAGTAAGCAGAAACCACTATGAATAACAATATGTTTGAAATGATCAGAATTTAAAACAGATAAACAGGATAACGCTTGGCGTCTGCAGCTATAAAGCTAAGTAATCCCCGAAATACATGTAAGTTTATCACAGAACAATATGTTAAATAAGGTAAGTTTGTTTTCATTCAGCAAGAAGTATAAATCAGAGTTTTTGTTTCAGGTACTCAGAGCATGTAATAATAGTATGAACAAAAAGACTTTGTAAAATATAGAAATTGCTATTAGTACATAATACTCAACATTGTAACTTATTAGACTTCTTTGCTGTGATGGTTCCGTTTCGTTCACCTCCGTGGTCGGAAGCCATCTTAGCGGAGAGCTTCCTTACTCACTAATGCAGCAGTGTCGGTAGAAACTGGAAGCATTCAAAACGGTTGGCAGTTTGAGACAGCAAAGTGAGTTTGAATCTTAGTGTGCGTTGTTTTTGTTTTAAAGGTTTGACTTTACTGTTATTCTGTCTCATATGTCTGGACATCACTGATTGCACTAAAACTTGTGAGCCCTATTTTTGGCTCACCTTGTGTATTGTTGAAAGGATATTATTTCCATGAGTGGCGGCTTCTTCCAGGCATTGTATTGTTAGTTTCATACTAATTGTAGTCGTCAAGTAAAGCTTTAGTACTTTATAAACATGTATTTCGTGAACTTAATAAATTGATGTCTTTAATGACATAAAATTTCACCATAATAAATAAGCATTTTTGCAATAATATGCATTACAAATGTTTTATTGCATTGCAAATATTTCTTCACGTTTTTTTTTAAATTTATTCAAATTCAGAAAAAAGTATTTTTTAGTTGTTTTTTCAGATATTGAGCATTAATTTCTTTTAGAAAACAAGGGGAATATTTCCATGATTTTCTTCTCGTTTTTATTTCTGCAAATTTCGCTTTTACAATTTAGTAATCTCTGTCGAATTGGAATACCATTTGAAAGAACGAATAAATACTATCTTTATAAAATATCAATAAAGTGTTTTGATAACTTCTACTAACCATCCAGATGAATATGAGATCAGCTAATGACATATTCTGGAATTTAGCTCAAACCTGAATATTTTGTTTTCTATCCTGTATTTAGTATGCTCTTTAATACTGCTTTTCGATTAGAGATAAAATATTCGCTCTGCTTGATGCTGCGACTTTTTTTCTTGTAATTGTTTTCTTTACATTTTATTGT